ACACTGGGACAGAACAGGGCTCCCCTACACTGGGACAGAACAGGGCTTCTCTAATAGCAAGGCAGGCTTAGTCTTACTAAAGAGAATAAAGCTTTCTTCTTACAGACTTGTTTTTAATTCACTTAGCAATAAAAGGGTAGAGGCTTTTTCTTTCTCTGTGCAATAAAGACTGGAGCTCACTTTTCATCCAGAATGAGTGAGCTCGTTCTGCCCTGGCGCTTGTCTTTGCTCCGTATACACATGTGAGTATGCAACTATCAGATAGTAAGCATGCAATTATCAGATAGTAAGTATGCAACTATCAGATAGTAAGTATGCAATTATCAGATACTATGCTGGGCCCAAGTGGTTTGAATGGAGATTTAAGAATGTGTCCACACGGGGGCATGGGAGATGGCTCAGTGGTTAAGAGCACTGACCGTTCTTCCAGAGGTCATGAGTTCAATTTCCAGCAACCACATGGTAGCTTCTTCTCTACTGCCCTCTTCTGGTGTGTCTGAAGTACAGCTACAGTGTACTCATTAAATTAAATAAATTAAAAAAAAAAAAAAGCGATAGTTCCTGATTTGTTTCCATAGGTGTTCTAACACTAGAAAGAACAGGGGAGCTGGATGGTCCCGCTTGTGGGGCTCCCCTCCACCTCCTCTTGCCAGACTCTTGGCTTCTAGGTTCCTTGGGGCTGGAGAGATGGCTCAGCGGTTAAGAGCACTGACTGCTCTTCCAGAGGTCCTAAGTTCAAATCCCAGCAACCACATGGTGGCTCATAACCATCCGTAATGAGATTGGATGCCCTCTTCTGGTGTGTCTGAAGACAGCTACAGTATATTCATAAAATAAATAAATAAATCTTTAAAAAAAAAAAAAGAATGTGTCCACATGAATCTGTATATGAATTATGTAAGTTTAATCTGTATTTGCCTGTGTAAAAGATTTTTCTTCTGCAAGCATGATTCTCTTCTCCTGGTTCAATAGTTTACTGTTCCAAATATCCCCCCCCCAACCCCCAGCCTAACAGGGAGAGGAATCTGGATAAGAGGGAAAAGGCTCTAACAATTAATCCTTTACTTAATTTCCCACTGCTTTAGGATGAGGTGCTAAATGCCAGAGACTCAAATTGCTTGCCTCAGAAGAACTCAGACAGGCAAGTCACCTACTGCAGCAAAGTGACTTAAACTTCAGATAAGTAAATGCTGTATCATTATACAGCAACCCTAAATAGCTCTTAAGAAAAGTCTTACACCCACAGATGTTCTTTCCTCTACTGCCTCAAGAGGAACCAACAAGAAAGAAGAACAGCCGGGGCTGGCCGCAGCAATGGGTTACTAGGA